AAAAACCCTTTTTTTGTAGAAGAATTTGAAGATAGATTTTGTTTTAAATTTACACAAAAAGTGAGTAAAGTTTGGAAAGTAAAGCGATAATCTATCTTCATTCCTTCGGTAAAACTGCAAGAATGTTTTGTCTTAATTTCGTATCTAGAATTGAATATGGATATGACCCTTTTCATCATTTTCATAGCCTAAAAAAGACTTCACGTTCTCAAAACTGAATTGAAGTAAAAGAGAGAGACCTCCTATATGTTATATCTTCATTATTTATATTACTCCCTTAGTTCATCAAGATATCAGACCATTCGGACATCCAAAGAATGTTTTGAAAATTCATTCCGAGTACAATATTCTTAAATATTTTTTTTATAAGCTCAAGAACTAAATTTAGAGGCTGCGCTTTTCTTCATTCGAATAAGAAGCTTTGAAAAATTGGTGTATCTAAAACCTGATAGACCGAAGTGGTTAATACCCACTCAACATTTTAAAAACATGGCGTGAGATATTTTTCTTCTGGTTTTTACCTTTATAGATAAACATCAAAAAAGAATAAATCAAGTTTTATCGGTTCATTTAAATTAAGACTTCTTAGCTCGATGTGTATGAAATTTACGACGTCATTTTTTATCATATATTTGCTCTTATGTTAAATTATATAAGGTCGAATTTAGCTTTTGGTCAAAAATCAATCTATATACTCATTGTGCAATAATTCCAAGATATTCGATCAGATTGCTAATATCAGATTGAATAAAGAGCTTGACTTCATACATTGAATGGTTCCTTTGCATTAAAAAAGTAGAAGTGAAATATTTCATCTTTCATCTAACTTCACAGGTTCTATCGTTTTAAGCTTAAATTCAGTAAAAATCTTTACCGAAATGACTCCTAAATCCAAAAAATTCTCTAAAATCTTTAAAAATGATGAAAACATTCTGAATTTCTGTACATCAATAGACTTTGGAAATACGACACAATCGAATATTTTGCGCATTGCAGTGTAGGGAAGAATAAATCAATACAAACCTCTTCTCGAGTGAACACATTACGGATTTTGACAATGCCGGATTTCAATTCAGACTCGCCAATGATAATACATAATTCGATTTGACACTTTTCGCAATACTGGAATTGATCGAGCAATTTTGGATTTTTTTTCATTGACATTTCTACCTACGATAAAAACATTTGAACCTGTTGAACAAACAAAATTTCATACTTTGAATCCATTTTCCCACAAATAGGCGCACAATTTCATTCGTTCTTCAAGTAACTCATTATGAGCCGAGGCAACATATACTTCAGTTTCAACAGTTTTTGCTTGAGTATTCGAATCCTAAAACTAGTTATGAAGAGAAAAAAACACGGAAGGAGCAAAATATTTACAGCAAGTTGATGCTCTTTGATGGAAAAAATGCGTTCAACGCCAATACTCATACCAATACAGGGTACACGACTTTGACGCGAATCGATCTTGTTCACGAGTTCATCGTATCGACCACCACCTGCCACACTTCCTACTGCTACTTGATCCTCACCTAACGTTGGATTATATTGATAAGAATTGAGCGTAGCTTCAAAGATAACACCAGTGTAATAGTCCAAACCACGCGCCAATTTCAAATCAAATACGATCTAAAAAAAGAAGTGTATCAATCATAAAATGTAGATGTTTCTTACTTTGTCCATCACACCATACAAAGTTAAATAGCGAAAGAGTAATTCAAGTTCATTGAGCGCTTCGATAGCTGTTGATTGTGCACACAATTGTGAATCCTTTCGAAGTTGGTCGACCAGATCGGCACCACCTATTAGAATAATTCAATCAAATCAATAAAGAAAATGAGAAGTTACAAACCGCGTAATTGTACATATGACCAAATTTTGTCAGCTATATCACCTGGTAAACCTTTTTCGTTAGTCATCTCATTCCGAACAGTATCCCATGGTGTCTGTAAAAATAGTATCAATGAATATTTTCAAAATAAAAGAAATAAAAATACAAACTTTATCAAGTTTATCCACCGATGAACTAATCGGGCGAAAAAGTGCATCAGGTACACCGCACACAGCAAAAATTGCATCGAGCAGTTTTCGATGATTGAGCTGAATTATAAAAAAAAAGTTCTTTTTTTTAGAAGTGAAGTCTTTCCAGAAAAATATCTGTTGCCTATGCTGATTAATCTCAATCTCAAACAATAAAAGAGCAGCGAGATTTATTTAGAAATTACAACATTCAAAAAGACAAAAACTAATCCGAGATTGAAATTAATACTATCCATTTCAAAATTAAAAATGGATACGAATGAAATTTAAAATCCATTCAATGTATTTAACTCACAAATTCACTAATTGAAATAATCTTTTATACAGGGTATGTCAAAATTATAGACCC